AATAGAGAAGAGAAAGAAGAGAGGGAAGAGAAAGAAAGATGGGAAGAGAGATAAGAGAATGAAGAGAGAAGAGAAAGAGAGATGAGACGAGAGAAGGGAAAGAAGAGAAAAGAAAGAGAGAGAATAATCAGGTACTTACTGGCGAGCCGATGGCTCGAGCCCAGGTGCTAGGTTTAGTCCCGATAGCCTTTGAGTGCTCCTTGAGTGTGGGCTTGGGTCTTGTTATGGAGGGTTAAGGTATATGGTTGGATGGATATGAACCTAGGTGAGCTAAGGTGGATAAGATTTTGAAGGTGTAGGTCTTTGATGGTCTATGGGCTATAATGAGGTCAAGTAAGGACTATGGCTCATGGTAGGGAGTTTGGTAGCCTATGGAGTATGGTAAGGTTAAGTGGGGACTATGGTTTATGATTTGGGATTTAGTGGTCTATGGAGTATGATGGGGTGTCTATGATTTGGGTTTAGTGGTCTATGGAGTATGATGGAGTTAAGTGAGGACTATGGTTTAGGGTAGGAGGTTTGGAGGTCCAAGGTTATGTGCTCAAGTTAAAAAGTATTCTCTCTCTTCTCTCTTGAAGTGAAAATAAAAGCACAAACACACAAAAAATCTTTATCTCAATCTGAATCTCAATTTAGCCAACTTTTCAATTTAGCCTACAAATGAGGAAAAAGAACTAATATCGAACGATCCCATAACAAGAGTGGATACTCAAAACTATGTCTAATTACCAAATAATACATTAAAATAAATTAAAAAGAGAATTTCATTTTTATGTGAAAATGATCATTTTGCCCCTCCATACTTTTGTATAAATGACAAGGCCAGCCCTAAAAAGGGGCCGCTTGCCTTCCCTATGGTTCAAGCCCATTTGTTATGCATTCCGGTGGCATTCTGAATGAACCAATGTCATAGAAACGTTGGTCCTCTCAAGACGATCGATTTAATATGCATTTTGAGGATTGAATTGAACTTTTGATGATGAACTCAAAATCCGGCTAATCCTTAAACTTGAAATCTTCAATATTCAATCTTGCATGCTTTGTCGCGTTTTTTTGTCATTTTTCTCATCATAAATCAAAGGGGAGGTAGTTGTGAATATTTGGCAACGAAAACCCTTGATTTGGAGTCCATTTGGTCCCTTTTCTAATTTTCCTGGTTGTCGAAAAATGGGATTCTGGTGACTGAGAAATGTGCTTCTTCTGAGTTTGAATGGGATACTTTCTAGCCTCCATTTCAAGCAAATAAATACTCAAAACGAAGCCTTTCGAGTGAAGATCGCAACAGACCTAACCTTGAAGTCGTAGGAGTCTAAAATCTATCGTTGGAGTGATGATATATGTTGCTAGAATTTCTTGCAATTTAGTGTTTTTTAGCTAACTTCTCTCTAAGATTTCTCATTATCCTGGACTCCCCATAATACGTACCACTTGCCAAAACGTTGGTCTCGATGAGAGGAACAACATACTCAAACTTGGAGTCTATCCGCTTCAAGAAGAGAGAGAACCAAGCTTCACAATTTACCCTGTTTTTGCAAAACACAGTTACTATAAATAGTAATTGGTTCAAAGGGTTTCAAGTGAATAGTAAAAATCTTGTCATTTTTAAAAAATAGGACCTAGAAAAAGTCCATTCGAGCTAAAATTTGGAAGGGGGACCATTTTCGGTCTTCTTAATCCGTTGGCGGTGGTCCCATAGTCACTAAAAGTATCTAGAGTAGAGTTCTAGCTGTTGGACATCGTGGTCATGCTAATAGCCTGGGCTAAAAACTGGCTTTGCACCTATTTCTTCTATTTATACCCGAATTGGTCAAAACTTGGAGGCTACCTTAGAAAATCATAAGAAGCTCATGTGCTCGATTTGGAGCTAAAAGGACATCGTTATCAAGGATCGTCAAAATTAAGATTATTGAATCAGGGGCCTCCATAGTCCCTAAGCATTTTTGGTACCTGTGGGACTAGGTTGCAACTGGCTCCTCCCTTATTCGTACCGAAGATACAATGCATCAAAAATACCCTACTAACAACTTTGCATGATATCCATATTTAAGATGGATGTTCGTGGGTCAATGCGCTCTTACACCCACTGAGCCATGAAAAACTTTTCCTAAGATAAATTCTTTTTGGCAGTTCAAAGTTCTAACTAAAGAACGCTCAAACAGCCATCGTGTTTAAGTGAGGCCTAATATTTGAGGACTGCATTTAAATAATATTTTGTGTTTTTCTCAAACTCCAATCCTTAACCTAGACAGGTGGTAGGTTTAGAAAAATTAAACTATTTACCATTTCACAAGACTCTAATGGGTCGTTTGGGACCTTGTATATACAAAACCTAATTTGTATATTCGTATTTGTAAGTCCGCCAACCTATTTGGATCTACTTTTGCCACCAAAACCCGGATTTAGCAATCCTCAAAACACAATAAAATGACGGTTAGCTCATTTTTTATAAAAAAAAAATTGAAATGAGCAAGATCGCGTTTTGTAAGGGTGCGGTTTCTATAAGGTTGCAACCTTAAACAATCCAATTAAAGCGCACCTCCAAAATTTATCATAACATGTAATTTTGATGAAAACAATTCTTAGATATATTTGAAAATCTATTCTCATGTCTAATACTTATAAAAATTCAAAACTCCAAAAATGGCTAAAATCAAGTAGATCTACAAACATATAAAAATCTTGAAAATGGACGGTTTAGACAATGTTTTGTAAGCTGCACTATTTATGGGACTCAAATATATTTTTTTTCCATATTCATACATCTCGATGACGAGACTATCAACTAAAGGGCATTTCAATATTAAAATAATACTTTTCGGATTTTTGAGGTGCATCCGTAATTCTACGTTTTAAGGTTGCAACATTATATAAACTTTTTCCTTTTGTTAAAGGGAAAGGTTTCTATGCTTCCCCTACAGCATAGAAGTTCTATCCTCCCACTACCATCCAGCCATCCAATTTTGATCAAGGGAGCCACTCACCATTTGATCTTAGATCTGACATCTCAAAGTATTTTATTTTTAGTTTTGTTTATACAAATTGTATGAATATGAAATTTGATACGTGTCATCTTCTCATTTGGGCGCACCTATAAAAAATACTAAAAATAAATTTTTGATAAAATATAAGGACCAAAATACCCCTTGAAGCTTTCAAGGGTATTTTGGTTATTTTATTTTATTGGAAATATTTTTTTTATATTTTTTGCTACCGCAAGTTTAATAGATGAATGGACATCCAAATTTTGGTGTCAAAATAGTTTATATAAAAAAATTTAAAATCAAATAGTGTAGAGGGGTGATATTGTGATTGGGTCAATCTTAGCCCTCCATTCAAAATGGACGGTTGGATAAGGGGGAGGATAGACCTATGCTGTAGGGGAAGCATAAAAAGCTTGCCCTTTGTTAAAGACTAGTTTTCATTGAAAAAAGTGTCGCCCGTTGCAGCTCGCAGACATCTTCTCTCTCTCGAACTCTATTTCTTCCCCACCCTTCCTCCGTCGTTGCAGCTCCTCCAACCCAAACGCTTGTCTAGTTTCTTCTCGGTTTCAAAATCCACTCTATTGTTATAGAGGTTTTTGAAGCTTTTTGGTGCACAGAAAAAAAAAAAATTTTTTTTTTTTTTTTTTGAGTATATCTTTTAACTGTGGGCATCAGTTTGCATGAATTGGTGTTGATAAGGTTAAATTTAGGAATTAAATAGGATAAAGTTAAATCTAAAGGGAGTTTTATCCTTCATGCTTTTAGGATTTGGATAAAATGTGAAAAATCTTATCTTTTTTTTGGTACATGATGGGTACGTGATGGTTAAAGAACGAAGATAAAGATGATCAAGAAAAAAGGTTAAGGGAGATAAAATAGAAAAATCAATTGTTTATCTTTTTTTTTTTAAGTCTATTTAAAGGGAGATCTCCCTTCATTTTAAATTAGTAAATGAGTTAATAAAATTTGGTCTCGTTAAGAGATTATTTTGGGATGGATTCCCTTGCAGACCTTGAGAGAGGGTATATTCTCTCAGCTTTTATTTTTTTTGTTTGTTCTTTTTCCTGTGTTATTTTCTCCCTGCATCAATTTGCATCGATTGGTGTCAGAGCAAGTTAGGTCCAGAGTTTACAATACCACTAAAAGTAAATCAAGCTAATCCTGCTCCGACTATAGACGATCGTTGAGGAGAAATTTTGACTAAATCCCTAAAAGATTTTCGAGCTGAAGTACATGAGATGAATCAGGAGATGAATTGATGAATCAGAGGTTGCAATGCCTAGAGGATTTTCGAACTGAAGTACGTGAGAGGAATCAGAAGATGATCAAAGAATGAAACGGTTGGATCAGAGGTTGCAGCGGTTGGAGAATAACCTTCTTCTTAATCTTGTACTAGTAATTCCACGACAAACCCAGAATGTTGATTTCAAGCGTACTGAAGAAATTAGCAGGCCAGATCCACATCCTATAAAGCGCGCACGAGATTTTAGTATTAAAATCAATCTCCCAAAATTTCATAATCAAGAGTGTTCATCAATTGAATATAGTGATTCTTTGGAGGTGGATCCATTCCTAATTAGGAATAATTAGCCCAAGCTCAGATTCAATTGGTAAAAAGTCTTATATTAGTCTTGAAGAAATTGAAGAAAATATGCCGAGGCGCATGGTGGGATTACATCATCAATTAGCAAATGGTGATTACCTTCAAGCTCGAGGTTGAGCTTCTCTCAACCCCGGGAGCCAGGGTCAGAAATCAATGGAGCTTTTCACTTTTCTCTATCTATCATTTGTCTTCTCGTATTTCTATGAATTTGACCTCTTGTATCTTGCAATATCCACTTTATCGATGTTTTTGAGGTGTTCCATTACTCAAGGGACTATGTTGACCCCAATATCTCCTTTTCGCCAGGCTTGAAACTATGATTTGGGAATGGATTTCTTTGATGGATCATAAAGATTTACAAGCGTGAATGAGGAAGATAAAATGGGTTTCTAAATATCTTTGAGAGATTGAAGCCATGGAAAAAGTGCTGCATCTCTCTGTTTTGGGGCAGAGAGAGGGAGGTTTCAGGGCATATGTCTTTGAAGAATTGAGACTGAAATTATGATACAGAACTCCAGCATAGAAACCGGGTGCTTCAAAGAGGAAGACACCCAAATAAACAGGAAAGATGAGAACAGGAAAGGAAGTACTAAACAAATTCAACAAATCTATAATTTAACACACTAAAATATAGACAAGGAAATTTTATCTTGTGATACAAAAAGCTTCGCCTTTTTTTAAATTTCCAAATTCATCTCCCTCTTTTACATGTGGGTGCAGTCAAGGCCGTCTGATCTTCTAAAGAGGTCTTCCTCTTACTACCAATGTCATTAATCTCCTCTTTTGAATCACAGAAGACATTTCTGTTCTCAACTGAAGCGTTCTGTGATCCTGCATAGGTAAATGTTGAGACCACCTTATATAAATAAAATGAGAAGAATTAAAATAAGTGAGAATATACGAATTCTAAACAAAATAAGAGAGAATATACGAATTCTAGACATTTTTCTTTTGTGTGAAGAGTAAAGAGAGAGGACACAAGCTAGACAGAGAGATAGGCAGATGTGCCCTGTTTCGACAAGGTTCGATGGAGAAAGCAATTAATAGACACACACAAGCTCAATCAAAGCAAAGATACCAAAGAATTTCACGAAGTACAACTCACCTCTGCTATCGAGGACACAGAGAGGCCTCCCATCAACCAAAATAGCATCGTGCAGATGATTACCAGTCGAAAGCCCCTTGGCCTCAAAGAAAGAAAGAATCGATCTCCAAGGAAGAGAAGAAACAAAATCAGAGTCCCTGCTTACAGAATGGCCATTGATCTTCACAGAACAGGGGTCAAGCCCAAAGCTCTTCGCTATAAACCCTAAATCTATCCTTTCATATGCCGACACCATAAGCATCAGGAACTTGGTTTTGCAGTGGAGATTAATGGCTATGTCCCTGCAATAAAAGCTATGATTATCACCGGTAATACGAGACATTGTAAAGGAGCCTTAGAGGAGAAGAAGAGCACCATTTCACTTTATTTTCATGGCCTCAGTTCAAATAAATTTCAGGAAGCTTCAAGTGAAGAGGTGGTGCCATTTTTATCCGGACCCGGTTTCTATGCGCCAAACCCGCATATGTAGAAATGCGGGCCTATTAAAGATGGATTTTTAGACTTAAGTTTTTAAAAACATGTAGTCCCTAATATGAAGATCATGTGGCAGTTTTATTCGGACCCTGTTTCTATGCGGCCAAGCCCGCATATATGGAAATGCGGGCTTATTAATAAATCTATTTTTGAGATGGATTTTTTGGACTTAATTTTTAAAAACTAAAAATAAGCATTCCGGTAAGAAAACATTTGGACCTTTAGTTTTCATTATTTTTATATGTAACACCTACTTGCGTCCTTTATTTTTAGATGTAACACCTACTTGCATTAATAGATTGGGAAATTACATTTTGAAGGTGCTAATTGGCGGGCTTATTAATAAATCTATTTTTGAGATGGATTCTTTGGACTTAATTTCGGGCCTATTAAAGATGGATTTTTAGATTTAATCTTTAAAAACATGTAATCCGTAATATAAATATCATGTGGCATTTTTATTCGGACCCGGTTTCTATGCGGCCAAGCCTGCATATGTAGAAATGCGGGCTTATTAATAAATCTATTTTGAGATGGATTTTTTGGACATAATTTTTAAAAACTAAAAATAAGCATTATGGTAAGAAAACATTTGGACTTTTAGTTTTCATTATTTTTTATATGTAACACCTACTTGCATCCTTTATTTTTAGATGTAACACCTACTTGCATTAATAGATTGGGAAATTACATTTTGAAGGCGTAAATTGGAGGTGCCAGCGGTAGGAATGGATAGTACAATGTAGTAATTGGGTATTGGAATGCTACCACCACGACCACAACCCCTTTCCTTACCTACATCCATCTTTACGATGGATGTTTTACCTTTTTTAGATTGCATATGTAGTCATCCAATCCGGCCAACATGAAATAAATTTTCCTTGTTTTTCGGAAACGGTTAGCATGCGGGCAGCTCGCGTATTGTAGAAATACGAGTTTGGCCATAAATATATATTTACATATAATTTGATCTTAATTTTTTGAGTATATATAGTCTTTAACATAATGATCGAATATAAAAAAAAATATATGAAAACTAAAAATAGTATTATATTAAAAAAACATTTGGACCGTTAGTTACAATTTTTTTTAGATGGACCACTTATTTGTACCCATCTTTAAGATGGATGCTTTATATCTCTGGACCGTATAATGTAGAAATGCGGTCCAATCCACATGAAACAATTGTTTTTTTTATTGGACACTATTTGACGATAGAGGAATGATCCAATGCAACCGTTGTATCTTAATATAATGAGGCGGTGTGTTGGCCACTTTTTGGCCATTGGATTCTATTGAGTCCACCTCATGCCCGCCTCTATCTACCGCCTAAGACATAAACCAGAGGAGTTGAGAGAGAGACATGGAGACCATTGGGAGGGAGACAGAAAAAGAGGGAGGGGAGACATTTTCTACAGCCATGCAAAAGTCTTTATTTCTTTCTCTAAGTACTCTCTCTATCGGTACTATCTCTTTCGCTCTCTAGATTTGCGGCATTTCTCTGCATCTTCACAGGCCAACACGCCATTACCACACCACTCCAATCTTTCTTCCATTTAAAAAGATAACAAAACCGTTGTTTCTAAGACCAGGTTTCTTTGAAAGCTTTTTTATCTCATACATTGATCGTCAACGTCCATCTCAACTTGAGTCAGTTCATATCCTCTAGCTTCTACTGTATGCCATAGTCTCCATTTCTCATAGGCTTCTTTAGTTGCAGAGAGAAGAAGCACTGTTATGATCAAAACATGGCGTTGAAAATGAAGGATTTTTTAGTGTTGAATACAGTAACTTCTACAAAACGTGTTTTACAGAGCATTAGGTGAAGGGACCAGGTCCTGTTTGAAGGCTTCTCATCTCCATGGCCACACCGTCCACCTCATCTTCCGAACGGTTCAAATTTCTCTGTTCCTGCTCTATATGTGCTTTTAAGATCCATTTGAGCATATGAATGAGCACAAGGGGTTCATAGTTGCAGAAGAAGATGCGTTTTTTAATACAAAAATGGCTAGCAAATGAAAAGATTTTGACTGTTTTGAATCAATCTGTACAAAAATTACCCGTCTATTTCAGGGATCATGGAATAAATCAGTACAAAAAGGTACAAAACTGCTTTAAAACTCAGGCTACTGTATAGTTTTCTTTTCAAAAAATGGAAGGAAAGTCTGGAATTTGGTGTGAAGTATCTGGTTTTTAGTGAAAAGTTAGTGTTGAATATTAAGAAGGAAGGAGATATCGAGGTATGAGATAACTAAATTAATACGGTTTTTTTGTCTATTTTGGTATTCTTTATGTACTTTAATCCTTGAAGTTGAGATTTACTCCTATGCTTGGATTTCACTTTTGATTTCAAGGGATAAGACTAAACTATGCACTTTTGGCAAGAAAATGTCAATTTTCAAGTGTAATTTACTATGATTTTCACTGCAAAGGATATCCAACTACATTTCTCAAAATATGTTTTGATCAGTGTTTCTTTTCACAGATTTTAATCTCTGCAATATGCATTTATTGTTCAGTAAAAGTTATGTAACTTTTGGTAGCAACAATATGCATTTATTTTTTAGAATCTCGTGATGCTTTTGGCATATAAATATAGGAAATTTAAGCAATATCTTTGCCAGAAACCTTGATAGTACTGAACTATTGATGTTGCTTAACATGAAATATCTCTTTATAGCGTTAAATAAATCCGTTTTTGAACTATAAATTGATAATTTCACTTAACCTTGTTGAAATCTGTAGAAATATGGAAGATATAATGGCTTCATTGAATATAGGAGATTGTTCAGGGTTTAATTTTTTGGGTTTTCTTTTCTTTTTGGTTTTTCTTTCTTATGAATTGAGGAACTTTGTGATTTGTTTTAAGGTTTTTTTTTTTGGAATTTTAGTGGAATGTGCTACTGCCTTTATCCTAAGGAAAACATCTAATGAAATGTAATACCCCAATCATTCTGATTTGTAGTTGTAGAGTAGAATCAACAATTGATTCTTTTCTTTGATAAATTACATCCAATCAACATTTTGCCCCCCAATATGCAAGTTTCCTCTATGTGGCAGAAGCTTAAGGGTTGGTTCCTTGGGAAATACGTGAGTTATCGCCAGAATTTTTGAGAAGTGTGATTTTTTAATGTTTATTGAATGTTTTTGGGGTCTGTTTTTTTGTAGAATGAGTTTAATGGCATGCAACTATTTAAAGGTATCTATTTTATGTCAAAGCTTAGAGATTTCTAGGAACTTGTACAATGTTCTTGGTGAGTTTAACCTAAAAATATTGCTGCAATGGAATTCAAATGTTTTTTTTTATCAATTTTTCATAAATATCCTGACAAATTGGTAGTTCTGCCAAGTTATATTTTGGATCATTCAATGCATTTATTGGATCTTTGTAAACTTTTTGGCGAATTTCTTTTATGGTTTGTGCATGAAGTTGATTTGTTTTATTTTCTTCTATCATTGCGAAACTCCTAAATTTTTTAAGCTCCCCATTATTTTCTTGGTATTGTATTCGGAAAATTTAAAAATTGCAAAGTCCTCATGGGAATGATGTTTTTTGCATAGGTTATTATTGCATACATATTGTCATGGATATTGACAAATATCAGAGTCATGCTGTCACCAATGCTGTTGTAAGTTACAATGAGATGAATTCTTGGGCCATTACTCCTATTGTAGGTGAGGATGAGTATACAGTTGAAAATATGGTGGAAGCTTCTCATTATGTCAAAGATGATGATAGAAGATAGAAAATTCTATGGTAAAAGTTGTAATTGAATCTGACAAAAATTTTAAGTTTGAACCATTTGAAGGAATGGAATTTGAATCTCAAGAATCTACGAAGGAGTTCTATAATGAATATGCTAGGAGGGTAGGCTTTAGCATGTGTGCCAGTAGCCTTTATTATACGCATGATGGAATTGCTAATGCTAAAAGATTTGTTTGTTCAAAACAAGGATTTCAAGAGAATAAATATATGGACAATGAAAATAGAATTAAAAGACCACATGCAATTACTCGAGAAGGGTGTAAGACAATGATGATGGTGAAAAAAATTGATAGTGGAAGATGGGTGATTAGGAAGTTTATAAAAGATCACAACCATTTGCTAGCTAAGCCAGAAAAAGTTCAATATCTATGATCACATAAGAAGATGACCAACACGACACAACATATTATAGACACAAGCACCAGTGCAGGATTACATCCGCGTCTTACAATGTCTGTGCTTAGCAAAGAAGCGGGTGGAAGTAACAATCTTGCATTCACTGATCGTCATTGTTGAAATCACATTGCCAAAAATCGGCAAAAGAGATTTGAAAAAGGAGATATTCAACTTGTCCTTGAATACTTTAGAAATATGCAATTTGATAATCCGACATTTTTCTATGCGATCCAAGTAGATGAGAATGGACATTTGACTAGAATATTTGGGTTGATGCTAGATCAAAGATGAACTATCAATTTTTTGGGGATGTTGTTGTGTTTGACACAACTTATTTGATAAACAAGTATCGAATGCCTTTTGCGTCATTTACAAGAGTAAATCACCATCGTCAATCTGTGTTATTTGGTTGTGTTTTACTAGTTGATGAAAGTGAAGAGTCATTTGTTTGGCTTTTTAAGACATGGCTTCAAGTAATGTCTGGCCATCATCCAACTTCAATAATTACTGATCAAGATCTTGCTATGGGAGCAGCCATTAGACGAGTATTTCCAAATACTTGCCATCGCCTTTGCTTATGGCACATTTTGAAGAAAGTACAACATAAGTTGTCTCGTGTATGTGCGAAACATGGAAAAAGTTTTAGTGATGATTATCACAAGTGCATCCATAATTATGAGACAATACAAGAGTTTGAATCACATTGGCAAACAATCATTGATCGCTACAATTTAAGAGAGAATAAATGGCTAATCAAAAGATATGGCATTC